GGAGAGTAGAAGGGCGACACAGCAGACAGTGTCGGCGGCAGCAGCAGCAGCAGCAGCAGTAGCGGCGGCGGCAGCGACTGGTGATTGATATCAGAGATCTGGCACTGCCACCTGATCCAGCCAGCCAGCCAGCCTCCAGCAACATTGAACTCACTGAACTCACTGAGCCAAGATGGCTGCCTCACTGCACTGCACCCAATGAACCCACAGCAGTCAACGTATACAGTATAGCACATATAGTTCCCGAAGGGATTAAGTTGGAGAGTTGGAGAGTTCAGAGAAAAGACTAAAAGACTACAGGTGTGTTGGATCACATTTCAGCTTGATTAGCTAATTATTATTAGCTTGAATGCCAAGATGAGATGCATTAAGTGACAGGCTGAGATACATTAAAGGATTTTCAGAAAGGGAGACACTGAATATCTGTGTCCACAGTGAAAGGACTTGTACTGTGATTGGAATTCTGCATATTATGGATGCGACTGCAAACAAACAATGTAAAGATCTAAATATACACAGCCACAGCAAAACATGCAGAGCAAACATTTGAGTCAATGTGTGGGATGCAGCAATGTAATTTAATACTGCATCATGTCTGATACAAAAGCATGGCAGTATGAAGGTGCACATAGCCACCACGAGCCCCCTGAAGTTTTACCCAAAATGCTCTGAAAGAAATCAATAACAATAACTACCACTGCAGCATCCAAAATTATTGAACTGCCTGAAGAAGAAATAGAGAAACACTCCCATTCTAATATTATAAGATTACTGTGACGAAATATGGTAAATATAATAGAATATAATAGAATAGAATAGAATAGAATAGAATAGAATAATATAAGGTTATTTGTTGTGGAATTTCTAGTACGTGCATGACATTTGATTGCAGTCCTGTGCAAAGAGAACGCAAACATATTTTAAATTATGTACAAAGCCTTGTGACTTCACTCTGTGGCTTGGTAATATTAGTCTTTAATTTTCTTTTTAAATAGCTTACATTCTTAAAGTTACATGACAAATGTGGATAATTTGAAACACAACTGTATAAGGAAGAGTATGTACAGCATCCTCTTGACTTGATCTTATTCACCTTACAGTGTGTGTGATTGCTTAAACCCTCCTGGGAGACAAAGAATCATTGATCTTAAATTATTTCGAAAACAAGGCAGTAACGAGACTCGCTCCACTCTGGCATAGCCGTATCTCATCTGATTAGTAGCTTTGCAGAGGAACACTTCTCGGGGACAGAAAATGTCAAAGAAAAGATGATGGTGTTCTCCCTGTCTCTCTCTGTCAGTGTTTCTCCTCCCTCCTGGCCATCTGTTGTGCTGACTGCTGTGTGGGCTGATGCTGATGGAGGTAACAGTATCCTCAACTGCAATGGCTGACTATGACCTCTGTGGCCTCACATGGGCTGACAGAAGGTAAACTCCTGTGCTGGGGGGAAATGAAGTGGAGTTCACTTCAGATTCAGATGTTATAGGTGCAATAAAACAGCCTTGTAACTTCTAACAACTGAAATACACCATTCAATACAACACGTCTTTCAAAGGCTGCACCTGTAGCTCACCTGTATCCACCACATTTTCTATCATTTGTCATTTAAAGTATCTTTTTAATCATTCAGTCTTTATTATTCAGAACAGAATAACAAACATTGCTTATTTTAGTTTACTAGTCTCTTGCCTTCATGTCAGACGCTGCGACAGATTCTGGTATTCATCCACTGTTAATTCTTTTCAAAGATAAATAAGTGATGCTGCTGAATGCACTCCCTGATTTAATGAAAGCAGGAAGGAAATCATCTCCATGCTAGTGAGCAAGTGAGTACTGAAAGGCTCGGTCATCTGAGGACATGCTGTATGTCCTCAGATGACCGAGCCTTTCAACCTTGCAAAGTACAGTACAGTATGATACTGTACTGTACTTTGCAAGGGTGCTGTTACTGAGGTCTGCTTTTATGCTTTCATTACATACATGCATTCTGCTGCTTTAAATTACTAGTTTTTATTTGTATCATCTGCTCTGGTTTTGTGTTTTTTTTCTCATCAATCAATCATTTATAATGTGAATAATATTATATAATATTATGTGAAACACTGTATTTCAAGTTAGACTGACTGTTTGACTTAAGGAAGGAAGGAATAAAAAAAGAAAAAAAACAAAAGCTTTTATATTGTTACAGTACAATTCACATTTGTAGCCCAAAATGGAAAGCCTTCATTCCTCCCTCTTTGCTTTCCATTCTGTGTCTTTGTGCTATGAATAGGAAACACTTTCTTACAATCAATCAATCAACCAGAGTAAAAAAAGTTAAAAGAGTATAAAATAACATTTATAAATATCTCTTTATGATGGTAAAATTAAGTCGCCTCGCCACAACTGTCTAGCAATTGGTTAAACTCAATTTATATTATTTAATTTATCCAGGATTTCTGTGGTGCACAACATATGACAAGCACTACAAAATATCAGTGCAAAAGTATCATGGTGTGCAAACAAGTCTCTGCACCGTTCTTTTTATACCTAAACCATGCGTGAGATGTATATTATACAGGGGCAAACAGTAAGTCCTCAACAGCCAAACCACATCAGTATGGTGTTCCCCATAGAATAGAATTTACAATAAAGTCAATATAAATCTCTGTCATGCATTAAGTTATCTATAAAACGATGACCTCACAGTGGACTTCAAGAAAGACATCTGTGTGTGTAAATTGAACTGGGAAAATACAAATTATCTATAATCCTAAAATTAGCATTAAATTACTTTTTTTGGCAACAAAATTGCACCATATTGGAAGCATATACTTAACAGCTGTTGTAGACCAGCCCTGCAGAAAGAAAGTATAACCAGTCCACCTAACATAAAATTATTAGGCTAATTATTAGATTACCAAAAACACAACCTGTTTAAACAAGCATTTACCTGCAAACGCAGACTAGGAGAGAGATAATATATTACTGACTTATCCCTGCTATGGAAAGCGTCAGATACATTACTACACATCTAACTTGAAGGATTTAATAGGAAAACAACACACAAGAAGAGAGCAGTTATTTAGGTACTCCTCTAACACTTATTTTATGAAATATAAATTTTCATGAGTGAACTGCTGCTGCCCTGTATGTAAGAAGCACGTGAACAATGTTTTCATACAGAGTTCTATTAGACACTTTTCCCTTCCACTTATTTCACCGGTCTGTCTTTCTAATCTTCCACGCATTCGGTCGCTGTGTAACCGTTTTAATGTTGCTCAATTCAAAACAAAACAATGTGCATTATTTGGTAGAAGAGTTAGAAGTCCAGACAGTCCAAACACAACTAAATGTAATCTTATTAGTACAAAAGGTTGTGTGTGTGTGTGTGTGTGTGTGTGTGTATATATATATAGAGGTTTCACTACCTTTCTCGTTCTCTGTTGCTGTTTCGTATCAGTAAAAAGCTGTCTAATGACTAAGACTGCAGTCTTTGCTGTATCACGACCTGGACAGTGAGTCAGCACCCAGACCTTGCTCCTCTCCACACACACACACAAAGACAGACAATGATTTAGCATATGATGCAGACAAACATTCATATTCCTGACACAAACAAACACCCCCCACCCCCTTCCCTACAACCTCTATCTCTATCTCTCTCACACACTGACGAACACTGGTAGCGCTGCGTCGTGACTGGGGGCGATGTGTTCCTCTTAATATGCACAGACGACTGTCTGAGGATCACACTGGCATGCTGGCACACATAGACAAAGATCCTCCCCTCTACTTCAGCAATACAGAGTGTGTACTGCATTTGTGTATGTGTGTGTGTGACAGAGTGACAGAGAGCATCCACTCCATGTAGTAAGGACCACTCTGTTGTCCAACATGTTCTCCTGCTGTGCCATAGTGTTAGCCTACATTACCCAGAAGCCTGCTGTCTGTTATGTATCCATGTCACTTCCTGTTCAACAGTTTGTGTTACACATTCCTAGACACCATCACATAGTCAGGGGGATGATGCTCATTGGCCTAAAAGTCTGGAAATCCCCCTTGTTCTATCCCCTAAGCTCTCTCCCTAAAATGTACACACACATTCACATGCACATACACTTGTGCCTGGAGGAATCAGCATCAGCAGACACAAGACCCCATGAAATCCTGGTTTTGGGGGCAATGTTCAGCATGTTTGAAAAAAACACAAAGTCCTAAAGTGCCTTACAGTCAGTGCTGCATTCATCACAGAGGTACTGTATATCACTTTTTAACTGTTTCTGGTTCAGTTTGGCCCTTACACAAATTACTTTGTACCTGTTGCAGAAACCACACACACTGAACATGAGCTGTGAAAAGGGAAGTACTATCTTTGCTACATGCTCCTCAACTGTTACAGTATTTGTTTCCCCATTTCTCATTCAGACAGTTGTAAGCAGGATGTGTTGTCAGTACACCCCCCCACCCCTCGACTCCACCCCGACTCCACCCCAACCAACCCCTCAACCCCATGTCATGTGACTCTGAGTGACATCCTGAATCTATGAACTAATACCTCAGAGAGATAGAACTAACTTGATTTCACACACTAGTAGACACACTGGCCTGACAGAACACTATGCAGCAGTGGAACTACAGGCCTGCTAGATGTTATTAACTGCACACACACACTTATGCATACAAATACATGCACATACCCATGCAGACTCTCTTTTTCAGACACAACCTGACTGAAGCACATAGAGGCTTAGCAAACAAACAGCCAGCCAAGCTTATAATAAAGACACACATCCCGGTGGGAGAACATGTACACACATACACACTCGCACACTAGATAATCAGACATCCATGTGATCACACACACACACACTCAATCGCAAACACTCACATCCTCCCACCGGCACATGTGGACAGGCACGACCAGGCCCTCAGTCTAGACAAGAGGCAGAGAAGAAGAGGAGAGAAAACAGAGGAAGAGAGGAGGGGAGTAGAAGAAGAGAGGTACTGGATGTACTTACCCCGTTTCTGGAGCCATCCCTCTCTAACGATGGTGACATCGCTCATGGTTCCTTCACGCCGAGTCTGATGCCGCTACACGCCTGCTCCACAGAGAGAGAGAGAGGGAGGAGGGGAGGAGAGGAGGAGAGGAGAGAAAGAGAGGGAGAGGAGGAGAGGAGGGGGGGGCCGGCTCTCCCAGCCTCCGCGTCACTCTCCCTCCCTTCCTTTCCCGTTCACCCTCTCGTTCGCGCAGTCTCCCTCTCAGACACACACACACAAACACGCGGTGTGTATGTGTACGCGTGTGTCGTTTTGCTTCCTGTTGTGGCTTATCTCCCTGCCGCCCTCCCTTCTTCTTCTTCTTCTCCCCCTCCTCCTCCACCTCCTCCTCCTCCTCTCTCGTTCCCTCTCCAGACCTTCCTCCTCACCAGCAGTGACTCAGCCTGGAAGGAAGTGAAAGGGAGAAAAAAATAAAAATAAAGAAAAAAGAAGGCATGAATTTATTTTTCTCCTCCTCTGCTGCTCACGCTCCCTCTCCCTCTCTCCTCTTTCCCTCCAAAGCCCTTTCATACAATCTGACAAGACAAACAACTAGTTATTGTGAGGACAAATGCACCCTCTGCCCCCCCCCCCCACCCAGTTCCTCTTTCTATCGCAAACACTCTCTCTGATAAACAGGATGAATTATTGCAGAGCTCTTGATGAAGCAAAAACTGACCTTGATTGTCAAACAAGTATCCCTGAGCTCTACCTCTCATTCATTCATAGATCCTTTTTTTTTTTCTTCTGGTGAGCAGGATGTGCTGTGTGCAAAAGCCAGTCTACCTTTCTGTGCTCGCCGTATTTCTGCATGTCAAATTATTTTGTCAACGAGTGTGTATGTGTGTGTGTAGGCTGATTTGTCTCTCTATATGTGGGAGGTGGGAGAGCATTTCAGGACTGTGGAGTAGAGCTTGGCTATAAATAGCAACAACGGCAGTTAGGGATGCTCTCACACTCTCTTTCTCTCTGCCCAAATCTCTGCACCTCTCTGTCGTCTCACTCCCGCTCTCCCTCCCCTCTCCCTCTCTCTCTGCATAGCTGCCGCGTTCACCTCAAATGCACCCTACTACACTGTATTACACAACGCGCAACAACACTACGCTGCTCAGCTTGAATGGAGATCAGCACTATGGCGGCTAGGCTAGCAGTCGTAGCCATCTAGCTGGAAATCAGTATTCAGATCAGCTAGTGTCTGCACTGCTGCCGACACTTGGAGGGACTGCAGCGTCATAACGAAGCCTGGAACAGACCCACAGAAGCACTCACGCACACACCCTTGTAGGTGACACGGACCTATTTTTTTTATGTTGAGGCAGCAGAATAGTAACCAGTCTGAAATCAGATGAACAAACGCAGACTAGTACAACGCAATAAAGTTCATTTAACTTAAACGTGAAATAAAGTTCACTAGTTCACAGTATGATTTCAAATTTTTTTACATTTTTGTCCATTTCATATTCTTAGCTTCCAAAAAGGATGGGTTTGATAACTAATTCATTGTTAAGATCATTCATCAATACCTAAATAAAATTATGTGAGAATTTGCTGTTTTTTTTACACTTCGTACAGTTGAAAATTTAATATCTTTTGGCTTTGGGCTGTTAGTTGCAACATATTTAGACCGAACGATTAAATCACAAAAGAACAACAGATAAATCTATAAAGAAAATAATTGTTAGCTGCACCTCTACCAGTACCAATAAAACTATGTGTTATTATTTTACCACATATTTTACACATAACTTAATATTGGAAACTATTGAAAGCGGCCATCAAATCTCTGATCAGAATCATAATATAGCGTATTTTGAGTTTCTGATTTATATCAAAGTTTAGACCAATTTTAGATTATTATAGTTAGGGAAAGTTCTTACACAGCTGCTTGTGTTTATACCATAGTTCAAATATGAGAACCGGGTTTTTGTTAGACGAAATAAAGGTGTCGTAGAAATCCATGTTTATATTCCTCCAACTAAGATATAAGGTAAAAAAAAAAGTAGTGTTTATGTTTTGGTACAGAACTAATAACCAAAACTATTGTATTAGCACTGATTTAGAAACTCAAATGATAACCAGCCCTAGTAATTACATCCAAGGGGATCGAATCCTTTTTATAAGGACAGTACAATTCTTGATTTAGCTTTAAGACTACAGTGTAATTCAATGAAGCTTCAGTTAGCTTTAACCTTAATCTGGGTGAGGAGAGGAGAGGAGAGGAGTAGAGAGGAGAGGAGAGGAGAAGAGAGGAGTAAAGAGGATAGGAGAGAAGAGGAGAGGAGTAGAGAGGATAGGAGAGAAGAGGAGAGGAGAGGAGTAGAGAGGATAGGAGAGAAGAGGAGAGGAGTGGAGAGGAGAGGAGTAGAAAGGAGAGGAGTAGAGAGGAGTAGAGAGGAGAGGAGAGGAGAGGAGAGGAGAGGGAGAGGAGAGGAGAGGAGTAGAGAGGAGAGGAGAGGAGAAGAGAGGAGAGGAGAGGAGTAGAGAGGATAGGAGAGAAGAGGAGAGGAGTAGAGAGGAGAGGAGTAGAAAGGAGAGGAGTAGAGAGGAGAGGAGAGGAGAGGAGAGGAGAGGAGAGGAGAGGAGAGGAGTAGAGAGGAGAGGAGTAGAGAGGAGAGGAGTAGAGAGGAGAGGAGAGAAGAGGATAGGAGTAGAGAGGAGAGGAGAGGAGAGAAGAGGATAGGAGGAGAGAGGAGAGGAGAGGAGAGAAGAGGATAGGAGTAGAGAGGAGAGGAGAGGAGAGAAGAGGATAGGAGTAGAGAGGAGAGGAGAGGAGAGAAGAGGAGAATGTCCAGACAGTGGCAACCCCTTGTCACCAGGGCAGCTGTTGCTATGGAGATATCCACTGCCATGATGAACCAACTATGCCAGGGGAAGCACCTGCCAGACAACATTTATTTAATGTTATTTAATTCCAGAGGCAACAAGGAAAAAATGACAAGGGAGAGAAGAGAAACACAGAAGCACAGGAAATAAGAGACCTGAAATGACAAGAGAAAGAGGGACGTAGAAAAATGGAAACGGAGGGCAGGGACCAGACAGTCAGCTACCCCACCACTAATCAGTCTAGATGTGTCAATTGAATCGACATGGAAAGGCAATAAAGGACGGCAACTGGAAAAAACGAATACACAGCTTTGACACACATTAAGCACTTGACTAGAACTTTATATTTACAAGCTATTGTTACACCGATCAACTCATCATTGGTTTCTGCTAATATTACAGTGGTGAAGATGAACAAGACATAACAATTAAGAGTGGCATTTGACAACACCAAATCATCCTCGCTGACACCAACAAGTTCGACTGAAACTATAGGCTCTACTCCTTATCTTAAAAGATTTGTATGAATAAACCCCGACAACTTCCAACCATTCTCCAAAGCAGGGGAGGCTAAACATTGTGATTGATTTCTTCCATGCCCACAAACTTTTGAAAAGACCAACAACTTATTCACTACCTCAAACGGCACTACTACATATTAATAAATCTTTGACATACGATAAACAGAATAAGTATTCACTGTGGTGGATTACCTGTCTCAAGTCTGTGCATGCAGAATGTTACTGCTATCATGAACTGAAATCTAAAGTGGCAGGAGGACACATTTTATGTAGGCTAAAATCTTGATGTGGCTCTTTAATACAGATCGTGTACGGAGAGGTGGACAGTACAGCATAATATTTGTAGATAAGTTTGTGTTCCTACCACCCTCCTGTCAGGACATCACACCTCACCTCACCTCACCTTACCTCACCTTATCTCACCTCACCCCTCCTCACCCTAAACTGTGGCCTCATACAAACCCTGGCTGACATCAGCAGTGAGCCAACAATCTTCTTCCTAAAAATGCAAGCCAGCCTTTGGCAGGACCTCAAGTGTTAGACTCTACTAATACAGGATGTGCTTCAGCCACGTTTTTCAGTCGTTCGTCAAAGGCTTGTATGACAGAACAAACACGCTTCTATTTTCATCAATATAGCTGGCCACACTGGCCACGTAAGAGATTGTGGTTCACAAGCACCTTATATGCTTAGGACTCAAGTCTATTTCCTTCCATTTGATTCATGTAAATACAGTGATTGTGTATTGGGCTGCCAAAACACAAGTAACCTCACACTAGTACAGTTGAGGACAATGCTGGACCTGTGTATACATACACTGATGGAGGGCAGAAGCAACAGCTGCTGCGCATTGCTGCTGTCACTACACAACCTGTATAAGAGTAAAGCTAAAATAATTAGTTAATTAATCCGTTATTTTAAAGAAACTATACCACATAGCAACAAGTAAAAATGTTAGTATTTTCAGCCTTTGTGTTTTATATCATTGCACTTTGAATTTCTAAATAATTAACCATTTAATTGATAAAATAATCAGCAGATTAATTGATGATGAAAATAACTGATGTAAGAGACAGTGTACAGTATCTTGGGCATTTAGTGAATATAAGTGGAAAATAAAAGATAATGTGTAGAGCAAAATATGTCCTCCTTCCTTGGCCAGTAAAAACCATTGGCTTTATAAACATGTGAAACATCACATGTAGGGCCGGGGATCATTTTAAATCTTTCGATGTCTGTAAAAATATTTTTCTCCCATTCCTTGCTTTAAGAAATATAAAGATGGGGCATCACAGAAGCTCACCAGGTAGAGCATGCAACATGTATGAAGGCTGAGTCTTTACCACAGAGGCCTAGGTTTGACTCCACACATCTTGTCTGTACCACTCTACTGTCTCTATCCAAATAAAGGGAAAGAATACAGGCTTTCCTGAGCCTGGCAGTGATGCAGCAGTAGCAGAAGCATAAACAATAACCCCATCATCATCATCATCATCATAGATACCATTTTGTACACTGAGAGTGACATACCCTCTTAATCATAAATGTGGCCACTTGTTTAGTCACCAATCAAGATAGGCCTAGTTTGCCATATTTCCCTACTACAGCTATGAAAATAAAGAACACATATATACAGTACAGTTGCATTAGTGATGTCCTTTTAGTGAGACTGTTTTGCTCATGGGATGAATGTGTACATCTTTCACTCTGAAACGTTGTTTTTGTGGACCATGAATGAGTGGGACAGCACTGCATCATCTAACGTTATGTCACGATGCAAACTGCCTGTCAAACTGATGCATGTTGCATGCAGCATGGCAGAAAACGGTGCAGAAAACATTAAACACATATTTTTCCGTCAACCTTTTTTAAACACTCAACCTCAACCGTATCACATGCCATTAAGCATCATTCCCAAGTGACCCGTCAAACACACGGGACCGCCCCCCCCTCCTCGCTAGCATTATCACAACATAAACACCCATTACCTAGCTAGCTTTAGCGGGGTTTATGTCAGAGCAGTGCGGCTAGCTAACAGCATTACCTGTCGCCGCAGGTGCTGTGGTATTCCCGTGCACCTGCTGTTCATAAACCGCTCGGGTTGTTTCTTTTCCTCCCTTCTGAGTGAGTGAGTGACGTAAAGCTAAACCGGACTGCAAGCTAAGCTAAAACCGCCAGTCAACGGTCGCTGTCAACGGTCGCTGTCAACGTAACGAGCCCGGGCAGAAATAAGCTAACGTTACATCAAACGGATTTCCGAGAAGCTACGACAGCGACCGTTACCGCAGCCAACGGTTGTTTTGACTTTCAGCAAAACTCGTGACGTCACCTGGAAACGGCAACCCCCCCTTTCTGGCGCGCGCGCGCGAACACAACACACACGCACACACACACACACACACACACACACACACACACACGCACTTTACCGTTTCGCCTCGTCCTCCCGTTTTTCGGTTTGAACGGTTTCAGCTCTGGTTCTTCTCCACTGTGGAGCTCTCTCATCATCCCATCCCATCCCGTGTGTGTGTGTGTGTGTGTGTGTGTGTGTGTGTGTGTGTGTGCCGGCTAATAAGCCAACCATCGCGAGAATAAACCGGTGTTAAGGCTGTTTATCTGCGAGAGCCGGACGGGAAGAGGCCTGTACTGGTGCGGTGACTGGCCCCAGCTCAGTAAAACAATCATGTGTCATACAGTGAAGGCTTTAGGACTTTGTGAGTAAGTAAAAGTAGGGATAGCATAATATAAAATACTGTAGGCTATTACAAGTTAAAGTTCTCAATTCAGGTTAATAAAAGTTAGTAAGTGGGTGCTTAAGTCTAGTGATAGACTGATTAATCAATGGGCCGATTAATGGGACAATTATTTGGCATTTTGAGATAATCGGCATTGGCCGAGGTCGATAAAGGTCTTCAGACACATTTGTAGGCAGCTTTGTCGGTGTGAAACGATGTTAGTGCTTTTGTGAGTTTGGGGAAGGTGGAAGAAAAGTTAGAGCCCTGTACTATAACTCTCATGCATCCTGCTGTAAACATATGTCTGAATTTCCTGTAGAATAGAATAGAATTGAACATTGTTTTTATTTGTTTTAATATCAGCATTATATATCGACCATCAGCGACCCTGCTCTTTAAATAGTGGCATCAACCATTGAAAATCCCATATGGGTCGACCACTACTGAAGTCTTCACAGTTAGTTGCCTCCAAGTTTCAAAGTGTTAAGAAAACTCTTCCAAACTGGTGGGAAAAGACAGGATCTCGTGACATATAGCAGTGAACTAAATACCGCTTGCCTTCCAACCCTTCCTGTAGGAGAAACTACAATGCATATTGGGATTTCACTAACATTTCGATTAACTGTGTAGCCCTATTTACTGTAGAAACATCACTCACTCTAAAGTAACAGAAACATAATGATTCTTATTTTTAGGTGATTTTACACTAACAGAAATACATTGTTATGCATATAATATTCAATTTCTGGCCAATAGATCCTCCTGAATGTTACACTCTGGTCCTTTAAGATTAATTAAATGTATCTGATGCAGCACTCTAACAATAAGTTTACAATGTTTTATATTTTATTTGTATGTGAAGCAGTGAAGAAATATAACTGATAAATGTAAGCTATGAAGACTATTTTGTTCTCTTTTGTTTTTTGTCTTTTTCCTTGTGTAGTTGTTTTCATATTTTTATGTCTATTGTTTACAGAAACATGCTGGTTTCTGAGCAACTGAGCAGACTGTTAGTCAGTTGGGTCATCAGCAATTTCGACAGCCTCTTAACTTCAGTACATTGCATTATCTTAGACGTTGTGTACAGCCGGAAGGATCAGACAGCTGCATAGCATATGACTGAACTCTCTGCTCAACAGCTGATCAGTGTAGTGTAAACCAAAATGTTCAGTGGACATTTAAGGCTTAGATTGTTGATAGAATACATTTTTTGAATTCCTGTGCAGGTCGTTTAAAGCCTGCGGGGTCAGCTGCCCTGTTGTATAGTACAATAATGTTGTTAAAGGTTGATGGTGAGCATCCTAGCATAGGTTTGATCATTCAACAGTGCATCCTCCTTTTCTTCCATCTCACTAAATCTGTTCTCTCCCCTCATTTCACACAAAGTACTATACTAAGATTTTAAACTCACATTTTAAGCTATATTTAAAACTAGTATCCTAATTTGTTGACATTCTGGCGCAATGACCCCCCCCCCATCTCATCTGTTCTCTCATCTTTTCTCCCCTGGACTGTCTGCCTCCCCAGATGGTGTGGAGTGTGGAGCTGGGCAGCAGTGGCAGAGGGTATAGGTATGGGGGCCATGGCTGGGCACAGAGTGCAGACACAGGTGGACCTAGCGTGTCATATAATATATGTGTGTACTGTTCTAGCCTCTCTTAACACACATACACATATTGCCATCAGCTGGCCTTTTGCTCACCGCCCTGTGTGCAGAGGGGGAGTGTGGGCAGAAACCAGCAGCCAGGGAAGGGTGTGTGTGTGTGTGTGTGTGTGTGTGTGTGTGTGTGTGTGCGTGCAGGGGAGACAGTGGAGGTGGGGGTAAACAGACAGCTTGAAAAGGAAAAGGGCAACACAGGGGAGCCCTTCTGTTACCATTGCTGTGGCCAGACGTGCCCCTGTGACACAAACACACACAAATACACGTACACACAACTTAGAGCGTCGTCAACTTCAGCATATGAAACATTAGTACTGAACAAAAACATGACTGGAAAAAATACCAACATGATGTTTATACTATTAAAAATTATGGTCAAGAATAACTCCAAGTTAAGATTTGTTTGTGGATGAGATATTAATACATATGAACAGAAGTCTACCACCCTGCTAGTGGCTCTGTGAGGCTGCACTTAGTGCTTTGTGCTGCTGCTGATGTTTAACAGGTTTTATGTTTACCATGTTCACTATCTTAGTTTAGCATGTTAGCGCAGAGTGCAGCTGAGGCTGATGGGAATGTCATTAGTTCTGCAAGTATTTGTCATAAACCAAGTATTCAACAAATTAGAATTTTGATCTGAAGTTTTTATAGTTATTTCTGAGTGGGATGGATATCTGCACCAAATTTACAAGAGCAGTCCATTGTTGAGACATTTCACTCAAAACCACCATTGTCAACCTCATGGCAGCACTAGAGGAAGAAGCAGAGGTCAACAAAGTCATTAGGTCCGGGAAACATAAATGAATGCAAAATTGTGTGCTAGTCCATCAAGTAGATGTCGAGATATTTCACAGGATAAGAGGAAACGTTGACCTGCTGGTGGCGCTAGAGGAGATGTCAGATGATCACCAAAATCATTAGGATTTATAATCTGGGCACCATGAATGTCTGTACAACATTTCACTGCAATACATCTAGTACTAGTTTGGACAGTGTGGATGACAGTGGTGGACCAATTGACCAACAGACCAACATTGGCTGAAAATCCATTATGATGACAATCGCCTCTCTAAGGAGATCAAAGTCAGCCTCTCGTACAGACTAAGAGTCCTTGTTGGACAGACACTTAACAACATAGGGGCTTGAACCTTTGTTCTCCTGGGCCGTGTTTCTTTGACAAGGACACACTGCTGCTTGATAGAGGTCCTCCTGTTCTACTATACCCTCTGTTAATGTCTTCCTTTTAATAGATTGTTATATTTTTTATGGCTAATGATGGATTGAGGTCTGTTGTGTCACTTCCCCCTTTCATATGCTGGAAGTGAGACAAAAGTTTGTGAGAATGCGTGTTTGAATGTGTTCATATTAATAATTATCTGTGGGGAAATGTAGCCACCTACTTGAAAGCACCTTCCAAAACTGTGATAATATATTATGACGTAGATAATAATGTAAGAATTCAAATCAAAATGCAACTAGTAGTCAGTAGAGCATATTTTCATCTTTAAATTTTTCATAGGATGTGTCCTATATGATCCAATACACAGATTCTTGGGTTCGTAGAGTTTCATTTGAGTTCTTCTCTATATGACCTCCATATCAAAGGGACTTGGATAAACAGGGAGCTTATAATTAGTGCACTAGTCTATTTTCTGGGTTTCCTCGGGGGCGTCATTATGCACAATCTTTGCAGTGGAAGAGTGAGTTTGTCCAGTCAGTTAGATCAGCTGTAGAGGAACACCATTTTAAGGTGGGATCCTCTAGGTATGTTTTGCTCATCGGTGCGTGATCTCACACACAAGTGCCCCACATGGTGTATGTTAGTGAACTTCAGGCATGTCAGGTTTCCATGTGTCTATATACAGTACACAGATAGGGAGAGAAGATGGTGTGAAAATGTTTGGCAGAATGTGTGTAAGAATATTATATATTAATTGATAGTAAGAATGTGAGTGTACATTTGGGTTTGACTGAAGTCTACAGCCGGGCAAGTGGCTCTGTGAAGCTATACTTAGGGCAGCAGTGCTTCAAGTTAAATGCTAATGTCAACATAACAACAGTCTCACATATAGCAGGTATAATATTCACCATTCACATGTAGGCAAGCTAACACTTGGTATTTGGAAATAAACAAAGCTGGGCTAAAGTTCCCACACCAACAACATTAAATCATGATGCAAAGCTTTGGCCCCTGTCATGACACGTGACACTGTAACATCCAAACTTTGTTGCCATTGTGTTAGGGCTCCAGGTGAGTCTTGGAGTTGTGGAAATGATTACGACATAAGATATAAACCAGTGGTTCCCAACCTTTTTCCTGAAGGGACCCCTTTTCTATCCTCGAGTAAACTGATGACCCCTTACTAAGTGACATATTTTAAGGATATTTAATATTCAATTGATAACAATAACAATAACAGTACATAACAACTGATAAACTCTGCAATTAAGTCTAAATAGTGAACACAATAACTGCAGGAAGTTTGTATAAAACTGGCGATTTTGGATGAATTTTTAGCAGGTTATTTTTTGTGAGTATTGGATATGAGTTTTCCTGATATTATTATACAGTTCTCTGTCTGTATTATGTATTTTTTTTATTGTTGAACAATCATACATACCTCATAAGCTTACTTTTTTTTTTTTTTTTTTTACATTATTCTATTTGCTCTTTGGTTGTTTTCAGATTGCACTGCAGTTGTTGATGTGTGGATGCAATGAGATAAGTGCCATCTCGTTCATACTACACTACAGAGCCTCTGTGTTTTGTAACCTGTTAAGTGTATGTGTTTCAAAACCCTTGGCTACAGTAGCGCTAGAGGAAAAGTCAAGGAATTAGCAGTGTCATTAAAATTCATCCTCTTGGGGTGTTCCCCTGTAGCTCACCTGCAGCAGGTGCCCCATGTGTAAAGGCTGGGTCTTTACTG